TTTCCAGGAAATTATGATGGAAAAAAGTTCTAATGAATCTATTGATGGAAACATCTTGTTGATGAGGTAGGTCAGAGGAGAATAGCCAGGCTAGAGGTGAGAGATAGGCTTCGGTAACTTAGATAACCACTCTTTCCAACTGTGCTGAGTGTAAAAGCAGCTTAGAATGCACAATACATGGAACTTTGAGATGAATGGGCTAAAACAGATGAAGGCCACATTGGGATCCATTCTTGTCAGCCACTTATTGTTGTGACCAAAAGAACAACCGAAACCAGCGCTCAAATCTTCATGCAGACTAAAAGAAATTCTGAATACCAAACGTTGAGGTGCAGCCCTTCATAGATCGGGAAATCTAGGTACTGGTGAACAAAAACAAACAAGGGCGCACTCTCATCGTGCATTACCATGGTACACCACGTATTTATTAAAAAACTATATATATATATATACTCACAAAGCAAAAGGTATTAAAAACAGAGCAGGTGATCCGTAAAGACAGTCCAATGGATTCAAACACCCTTAGAGCTCTGAGGAAGGGAGTTTGTCTCCCGAAACGCGTTAGCCTATCCCATTAACCCTTTGAGGACCAAGGGACGTATTTGTCCCATGTTTTTAATTGCGTGTATCATCTGATTAAGAACTTAAAACTCTTTTTTTTTTTGGTTTGAGTCAAAATATTACTTCTTATCAACAAACAACAAATGGATCTAGCTTTTTGCCAATTATTTCATGAAATGGCTTAGTTACAGCAACTGAAGTGTACGAACTTTAAAAACAAAAAAATTGATTCTTTTGGCGTTCCAAAATCTTACGGTCCTCAAAGGGTTAAGGGTTTTTGAATCCATTGGACTGTCTTTACGGATCACCTGCTCTGTTTTTAATTCCTTTTGGTTTGTGAGTATATATCTATAGTTTTTTATTAAATACGTAGTGTACCATGGTAATGCACAATGAGAGTGTGTCCTTGTTTGTTTTTGTTCGTTTATTGTTGTGAGATGAGGGGTACAAAAAGCTAGGATTGCAATGGACACAGGATTACCAAAACTGTACATTTGAAGGTTAAATAAAATGTAACCTGGTCTGCTGAATCTCGATTTTGCTGGAAAACAAACTTGGTAGGACATTCACCAGATCTGATGCCAATAGAACACATGGAACCTTGAGATGAAAGACAGCAGGAGGCCATGTTGAGATCCACTCCTGCCAGCCTTGTTGTGCTGTGAGGAGTGCCCAGTACAAACAGTCCTACTACTTGGTGGTTGATTTTATATTGTTTGTATTGACACTGGCTTGGGAGCAGACACCATATTTTCTGTATAGCCTAAACCAGATCACTATACACTAACCTTTCAAAATATACTGTAGGTTCACCTCAAATAAGAGGATCCTTCTATAAGGAATCAGTTCTAACCCCCCCCCCCCCCCCCCCCCACACACACACACACAAGTTTAGAAACTACTTCAAATAAGGGGAGCCACACGTTTATACAGCTACCAGAATTTTGTTGGCCAAAACCAAAGCTAAGACTTCAGTGGACACAGGATCACCACAACCAGACTGTGGCAGAGCATCCCAAAGGAACTCTGGGAAAGCCCTGTTCAGGGTTTATAGATCTCCCAGGTTCCTTTCCTCTCTGATATGAGGTCCAGTGCAGGGTTTACCTCTCTCTGTGGGGCAATTAAAACCACATGGAACCTGTAGCCAGAGTTCTTGGCCTGGGGATCAAACAAGTTCTGTCTGGAGAGCTGGAAGTTGGTGGAAACTAACAAGCTATGTATGTTGTGGCTGACAAGTGGTAGGCCTGATCAGTCGGCTAGTTAGGACCCACAGTACTACGTAGTGAGAGCCAGGACACGGCTAGGTTTTTGTTTGATATTTTTCTTGTCCTATTTATTTTAATTAAACACTGTACAGCAACTTGGATATAGTTTTGTAAATAGCACTGTTTGGCACTAATCTCACAGGATTTGGTATCTGTGCCTAAAAGACTGCTTACCCTAGGAAGCATATATCCCGGCTGCCAATCCCCAGCTCACATAGACCAAATATTACCTTGTCTGATAAATATTTATTTTTTGCTGGAGCACAAAGATGGTGGACCAATCACTAGATCTGAAGCCTATAGAACACATGGAACTCGAGATGCAAGAGGAAATCCTTGAGGGACCCAGTACATGTGTAGATATGCCACCAGGCTCTCATGATACCCAAGTCCTGAAGCACATCTGCTCATGTATAGGGAGCGGGGAGAGAATTCTCACCTAGGCGAGAATTGTGAAAGTGCAGCTTTGCAGCACAAATAAAGTTCTTAAAAAAAAAGAACACATGGAACCTTAAGATTCCAGAGCAAATACTTGAGGGACCCAGTATATGTGCAGATATGCCACCAGGCTCCCTTGATACCCAAGCCCTGGAGCACATCTGCTCATGTATAGAGAACAGGGAGAAATTCTGACCTAGGCGAGAATTGTGGAAGTGCAGCTTTGCAGCACAAATAAAGTTCTTAAAAAAAAGAACACATGGAACCTTAAGATTCCAGAGCAAATACTTGAGGGACCCAGTACGTGTGCAGATATGCCACCAGGCTCCCATGATACCCAAGCCCTGGAGCACATCTGATCATGTATAGGGAGCGGGGAGAAATTCTTACCTAGGCGAGAATTGTAGAAGTGCAGCTTTGCAGCACAAATAAAGTTCTTAAAAAAAAGAACACATGAAATCTTGAGATTCCAGAGCAAATAATTGAGGGACCCAGTACATGTGCAGATATGCCACCAGGCTCCCTTGATACCCAAGCCCTGGAGCACATCTGCTCATGTATAGAGAGCGGGGAGAAATTCTCACCTAGGCGAGAATTATGGAGGTGCAGCTTACCAGCACAAATAAAGTTCTTAAAAAAAAGAACACGTAATCTTGAGATTCCAGAGCAAATACTTGAGGGACCCAGTACATGTGCAGATATGCCACCAGGCTCCCTTGATACCCAAGCCCTGAAGCTCATCTGCTCATGTATGGAGAGCAGGGAGAAATTCTCACCTAGGCGAGAATTGTGAAAATGCAGCTTTGCAGCACAAATAAAGTTCTTAAAAAAAAGAACACATGGAACCTTAAGATTCCAGAGATAATACTTGAGGGACCCAGCACATGTGCAGATATGCCACCAGGCTCCCTTGATACCCAAGCCCTGGAGCACATCTGCTCATGTATAGGGTGGCTGGGAGAAATTCTTACCTAGGCGAGAATTGTGGAAGTGCAGCTTTGCAGCACAAATAAAGTTCTTAAAAAAAAAATTGTGGAGGAGAGAGGGGGAAGGAGGCAAAGTATCACAAAGTGAGCTTAGGGTGAAGGTCCGCTTTAAGAACACATACTTGAAGAGTATGTCTTTTGTAAACCATAGTTTAGTATCACTTTAAAGAAATGTTTGCAGAATCCACGACACAAGGAGAGTAGAGAGAGCTCCTACCTTTTATAAATATCTACATATAATATATAATATATCATTTCCATTCAATGCTTGGAAATGTTAGCACAGTGGAGCTCCAATTTTCTTGACAAACACACCTGCTACTGCATATGTGTTAATTAGGCACGCTGTCCATTGCCTATAATGTGGTACAATTTATCAGTGTATTAGCGGTGCAGTACCCCTTTATCACCCAGATGCCAGGACAGCCGGAGAGATTATTATGTGATCCCAATTACGCTGATAAATGTAGTGATTATCTGCTTAAAAAATGTGCAATCTGTATCAGAGAAATAATGGAGCCGGAGAGTCAGAGACCTGCTTTATTATTTGCAGAGTCCACCTAATTCTGGAAGATGCCAAAGTCAGTTCTAATGAACATTTTCTATTGTTACATTTAAAGCACACTTGTCATGGGAAAACTCGATGGCTGCCATTTTTGTTCTCTTACTCTGGTTGCATTATGGAGGTATAAAATTGATCTTAGATACTAGGAGCCCATGTCTCATGATTTCGGACTGGGAATATGAGGCAAATCCATACCATCTGTATATCTGCCCTATGGGCTACAGCCCTGCATTGGAAATCCCTCACGGTACCATTGGCCACAATTCTGCATAGAGTTGATGCAGTGATGCTTATGGAAAAAATTAATTATACTTTATTGGATAAGATGCACTTATGTGACAGAAAATGGGAAATTTGGAGAGCTCTTAGGCATTTACTATATGACTAAGGACCACTCATGTTTTGGTTGATTCAGTTTTTTTTCTTGGTAGCTGTATAGCTCTGCCTACCTTTCTACCTATATTGCTCATGAACTTCATTTCTTTTCTCTTTCTTTCTTTTTTTACTGGACTGATGGACATGCAGAATATCGAGGCTAATACTTACCCCTAATCCATAAAAAAACCACCACCACCCTTCAACCTCCCCCACCTAAATAAACATGCGACTCTCTTTTGGTGTAAAACCGGCCATAGCAGCCATTTATTTAACATAACTCTAACATAAAACTTCTTACAGTAACTCAAATAATAACACAGCAATAATCCCAACCGGGTCGAAGATCTTCGAAGGCACCGTTACTCACATCCAAAACTCGGCTGTATCTGACACCCAATGAAAAGGCCCTCAGCCGCTACTACACTGCCTCGGGGACAATACTACAGTTACGTAGTCCCAGATACAGCCAATGAACTCCCACATTACCAAGGTGACCTTATAATTGGGAAGGAACACCCATACCTATGATGGGCCCAACCCATAATCCACCAAATTGTCACTCCACCCCTTCTTCAAAGACCCATTGACCCCTGCCAGCTGCCATGACAAAACAAAACAGACAAACACCTCGGGACACAAATGCTTGTCCAGGCAAGAAACAAACTTAACCTCCTTAGCGGTATTCCCGAGTGTAGCTCGGGGTAAAATTTCTATGCCAAAAGCGGTAACCCCGAGCTACATCGGGCTTACCATGCGGCGTTGCTCAGGGGGTCCCTGCAGCACTTACCTTGTCCTTCGCTCCCACGATGTGTCCCCTGCAGCGTCCCCGGCCATCTCCTCCGGCCGATGCCGGCATTGGGCTTCTGTGTTCCGGTCCCTGTGACGTCGGGATGTACGGGCGCCGGAACAGGCGGGAAATTTGAAATTTTGCTGTTGCTGTTGCTGTTTCAATGCATTTCACATATATTTTGTCCCGAGTGCTTTGTCCTGCGCCCTGTCTGCATTTTGAATGTTCTTTCTGCCTGGAAACTGAGAAACGTCCATGGCGTCCAAAAAGCGTCCCTTTAGGTCAAAAGCGGTTTTAGACCGGCTAGAGAACAGCGATAGTAAATCAGAACCACTTGCAGAATTGAGTGATAATGATTCGTGGGGGAAATTCCTCATCAGACACTGAAAACGATTTTGCGACTTTGCTCAGCGATATGCGAATTTGCCTCTGTATTTCAAATTTCAGTGTTTTTGGTTTGATTATATTATTGAATTAAATTTATTATTATTATATTATTATTTTTTATGATTATTTATTAAATTATAATTTATGATTTCGTGTTTCAAGTTTTATCATATCCGGAATGTTTATCAGACTCTTGTTCGGACAGATTTCAGTGAGTTATTCCTAAAAATTACAGCCTACAATAAAAAAACTACATATTTCCATGCAAAAAAATGGTACCGCTTTCAGCACAAAAAATCGGAAAGAATCATACCGCCGAGGAGGTTAAGGAACCCAGACAAAAACAAACAACAGGAGAAACACAAAGAACAAACCATAACCAAAACAGCAAAACAAAACATGAAAAACTCCAAGGAGGGAGGGCGGGAGAAACCACCCCCATGTTGACACAAGCTCCGAATGACCTCTGACAAGTCCCAACCCACCTCCTAATACTGGCAAGACCACCCTCAAGGTTGCGTACTCCAATCAGGTGAGTAACCACCCCCTTACTCCCTATATATACTCCCACCCAAAAACACACTCTGCCTCGTCTGCACGCCCCAGTCATGCTGGCCTTCCCTTTTAGCTTTGCTCAGTCCAAGCCCTGACTTTACACGGTTGTACCATTTGAAATGTACATTACAGATGTGCCTTGCTCCTGTTGTATATTTTATTTGATGTTGTACTGCCATTTTGCAGTCTATTTCTTGACAAAAAATAAAATAAAAATATTTGTAAACAAAAAAAATTGATCTTGGAGCACTGTACGTAAATACAAACAAAATGTTTAAAAAAAAAAAAATCTAGAGAAAAATCAAAAATTGCAGGGACAAAACTATACACAAAGGACAAGACATAGACACAGATACTGTGGCAAGAAAAAGTACATGAACCCCTTGGAATTACTGCTTTTCTGCAGTAATTTGCCATAAAGAGATTGCTGTGTATCCAGCCTTATGCAGATCAGCTACTCTTGAACGTGTGTCTTCAGAGAGCAACTTTTTGTGAGGCATGGTTCACAGCTGATGCTTCTTATGAACAGCAATCTTAAAATGTCTGAGAGTCTTTTTATCTGTCATGTACCTGGTGGAGGCTGAGCTGACGAGAGGGTTGTCTTTGTCCTGTCTCCCCTGGAAATGGTAACACGGTATAGCAGGGCTCAGATTGGCGCGGGTGCCTGCAGGGGATCTGGTTTAGGATGTCTTGATAGCAGATGCGGAGGTGAGGAAGACCTGCTGGCAGCAGGCAGGTACAGGATCTCGGATGCTCGGTCAGACAGGCAGAGGTCAGCAACAACCGGACAGCAGGAGTGCCAAAGCGGAAACCAGGAGCAGAGCCAGGCCAAGGTCTGCATCAGATGAGCACAGAGGGTACTGGAGCAGCAGGAACAAAGCAAGGTCGACAACAAAAGTTCAGGAACAAGAAGCATTAACCACTTGTCCTCCTGAAGATTTACCCCCCCCCCCCCCCCCCCCCCCCTTCCTGCCCAGGCCATTTTTTTGTGTTACGGCACTGCGTTACTTTAACTGACAATTGCGCGGTCATGCAACATTGCACATATGAAATTTACGTCCTTTTTTTCCACACAAATTGAGCTTTCTTTTGATGGTATTTTACTGCATGTGCGTTTTGAATTTTTTTTGCGCTATAAAAAAGAAAAAAGACTGAAATTTTGAGAAAAACACCAATATTTTTGACTTTTTGCTATTAACCTCCCTGGCGGTATGATTATTTCCGATTTTTGGTGCTGAAAGCGGTACCATTATTCTGCATGGAAATATGTAGTTTTTTTATTGTAGGCTGTAATTCTTAGGAATAACTCACTGAAATCTGTCCGAACAAGAGTCTAGTAAACATCCCGGGGAGGATAAAATTTGAAACACGAAATCATAAATTGTAATAAAATAAATAATCATAAAAAATAATAATATAATAATAATACATTTAATTCAATAATATAATCAAACCAAAAACACTGAAATGTGAAATATAGCGCCAAGTTCGCACATCGCTGAGCAAAGTCGCAGAATCGTTTTCAGTGTCTGATGAGGAATTTCCCCCACGAATCATTATCACTCAATTCTGCAAGTGGTTCTGATTTACTATCGCTGTTCTCTAGCCGGTCTAAAACCGCTTTTGACCTAAAGGGACGCTTTTTGGACGCCATGGACGTTTCTCAGTTTCCAGGCAGAAAGAACAGTAAAAATGCAGGCAGGGCGCCGGACAAAGCACTCGGGACAAAATGTATGTGAAATGGTTTGATACAGGAATGTTATACTATCAGATTTTAGTGTATTTAGTGAATGTCAAATTTTGACATTTTTTAATTTCCCGCCGGTTCCGTCCCCCGTACGTCCCGACGTTCGCAGGGAATGGAACCCGGAAGACAGGTGCCGGCATCAGCCAGTGGAGATGGCCGGGGACACTGCAGGAGGGACATCGCGGGAGCGCAGGACAAGGTAAGTGCAGGAGGGATCCCAGAGCAACTCTGCAGTGTAATCCCGAGTGTAGCTCAGGGTTGCCGCTTCTGGTACTGAAAGTTAACCCCGAGCTACACTCGGGAATACCGCCAGGAGGGTTAACTGACAATTGCGCGGTCATGCAACACTGCACAAATTAAATGTACATCCTTTTTTTCCCACACAAATTGAGCTTTCCTTTGATGGTATTTTATCGCCTGTGCATTTTTTAATGTGCGCTATAAAAAAAGACTGAAATTTTGAGAAAAAAAAAAATATTTTTTACTTTTGCTATTAAACAGATCCAGTAAAAAAATTTTTAAAAAATCAAATTTCATCATAAATTTACACCAAAATGTATTCTACTACACGTCCTTGCTAAAAAAAAATCCCAATATGTGTAAATTAATAGGTTTACGTGAAAGTTATTGCGTTTACAAATGGCGGTATATATTCTGGATTTTGTTTTGTTTTTTTAACTAGTGATGGCGGCGATCAGCTACTTATAGCGGGACTGCGGCAGACATTCTGACACTGAGGGGAACCTACTAACTATCACTGATATCCCCATTGACTCCAATACAGTGATCAGTGCTAAAAAAAAGCACCAACACTGTAAAAATGGCACTGGGCAGGAAGAGGTTAACACGAGAGGCAATCAAAGGGTTAACTGTGTGCTGGGAGTGTTTTACAAGGGGGCCGTGCCAGTGTTATCACACTGCTGTGGATTGGCTGTGCTCTGGATGCTACATTATTTGATTTTATTTCAGGTATTTATATAGCGCTGTCAATTTACGCAGCGCTTTACATATATATTGTACATTCACATCAGTCCCTAACCCAGTGTTTCTCAACTCCAGTCCTCATGGACCCCCAACAGGTCATGTTTTCAGGATTTCCCTCAGATGAAACAGCTGTGGTAATTACTAAGGCAGTGAAACTGATCAAATCACCTGTGCAAAATAATGGAAATCCTGAAAACATGACCTGTTGGGGGTCCATGAGGACTGGAGTTGAGAAACACTGCCCTAACCCTCAAGGGGTGTACAATCTAAGGTCCCTAACTTACATTCATACATACACATACTAGGGACAATTTAGACAGGAGCCAATTCACCTACCAGCATGTCTTTGGAGTGTGGGAGGAAACCAGAGTACCCGGAGGAAACCCACGCAGGCACAGGGGGAACATGCAAACCCCAGGCAGGTGGGACCAACGACCCTAGTACTGCCAGGCGGAAATGCTAACCATTTAGCCACTGTGCTGCCCCTGAATCATCTTTCCTTTCTCAAGATGGCATTGGCTGGAAATGACAGGGGGAGGGTATATTTCAAAGTGATTTCTCAGCAAAATAAAGCATGGAGACATACATGTATGAGGGAGTTTGCTTTGAATATTAACCAATTCAATACCGGGCAATTTTACCCCTTCCTGCCCAGGCCATTTTTCAAGTTTCAGCGCTCTCACACTTTGAATGACAATTGCGCGGTCATACAACATTGTACCTAAACTAAAATTTTATAATTTTCTTCACACAACTAGAGCTTTCTTTTGGTGGTATTTAATCACAGCCGGGGTTTTTATTTTTTGCCAAATTAACAAAAAAGCCTGAAAATTTTGAAAAAAAAACACGTTTTTCTTTTTTTCTGTTATAAAAGTTTGCAAATAAATAATTGTTCTTCATAAATTTAGGCCGAGATGTATTCTGCTACATGTCTTTGGTGAAAATAACCCAAATTAGGATGTATTATTTAGTTTGTAGGAAAGTTATAGAGTTCACAAACTATGGTATAGATCTGAATATTGATCAATCCTGAAGTACTGACAGCCAATCTAATTTCTTGAGGTCCAAGAATGTCAGAATAGTACAGATATCCCCCAAATGTCAGGACAGTACAGATATCCCCCAAATGTCAGAACAGTACAGATATCCCCCAAATGTCAGAACAGTACAGATATCCCCCAAATGTCAGAATGGTACAGATATCCCCCAAATGTCAGAACAGTACAGATATCCCCCAAATGTCAGGACAGTACAGATATCCCCCAAATGTCAGGACAGTACAGATATCCCCCAAATGTCAGGACATTACAGATATCCCCCAAATGTCCGGACAGTACAGATATCCCCCAAATGTCAGGACAGTACAGTATATCCCCCAAATGTCAGAACAGTACAGATATCCCCCAAATGTCAGAAC